TCTAGAACCCTCTCTTTTGAACCTCCTTGTAGAGTTGATGGGTAATTACCCACCAAAGCCACTGGTTACAGAGAAAAAACGTTTCGCTTCTATTCTCTCCCCCCCCGAAAAACGTTTCGCTTCCCAGTCCCGCGGCTCTTTCGGCCCTGCCTCTTCTCATGAGCGGCCTTGGCGCAATAGGGGTTTCCGCCACGCTAGCTAGCAGACCGGACGACGCCGTCCACCCTGGCTGGCCGGCCGGCCGAGCCCCGCACCCGGCCGCCCTAGGCCCGTTGCTGGTCTCCTAGCCCCGCCCTGGCGCCTAGCTCCGCCTCCCGCCACGTCTCCTAGCCCCACCCTGGCGCATCCTCCTACCATCGGAGATCCCCCGCCGGTCGCAGCTCCCCACCGACAGCCGCAGAGGCCCGCCAACAGTCATCCGTAGATCCCCTGCCGCCGTTCACAAGGTATGGTGCCTGCTGGTTCGATGTTTTGGCCCGCCGCAGAGGCCCGCCGCCGTTCTATCGGTGCCTTTTGGCTGCCGTTCGATGCTGTGTGTGCTGAAATTATTGCCTAGCTTGAAATTTACAAGGATTTAAGCAATGATGATATCTCTTGTCTCAACACTAATATTATGTCTTGCAAACAAAAGGTAAATACCATGTGATGAAATTCCATCCTTCCATCACGCTCTGTTTGAAGAGAAAGTTGCTTTGGGTTAATGGCCAAGTAGTGCTTGTTATGATTTCTGAACATTTAAGCAATGATGATATCTGTTGATTGTTATGATTGGTGAGAATTTGAGCTTATAGGGGATGCTTTCTGTAGCTTACAGACCTACTATCTTTCTGTACTTCTATTGATTGTTATGATTGGTGAGAACCTGAGCTTATAGGGGATGCATTCTGTAGCTTTCTGTAGAATGAATCAAAGAAAAGAGTGTGTTGTTTGGTATAATAATAAGTTGCTCCTTGCTTTACCTCCATGTTTAGGATGGGGATATAGTTGAAGTGAGGGTATAGATGCAAGTACCAGTTTCTAGTACACCTTTCTCAGGGTTATTGATTATATTGGTTCCTCAGTTCTTGCCAGATCTTGGCAATGCAACAGACTGAGAGTTTACTGTGTACATAAGCAACTGCAAGTAACATTAGGTAACTTGCCTTCTAATATGAAATTTGTCAGTTTGATAGATGCTTGAAATTGATTGGAACTCGAAGAACACTCGAGTGCTGTGTATGTTGTTTGCTGAACAAGTTAGAAAAGGAAATCGGCCAAACACACACTTGAATGCACTTGGTTATGTTGAGGTTGAGAAAGGGTTCAAAGAAAGGACTAGAATTGTGGCTACCAAGGTTCAGATCAAGAACAAATGGGACAAGTTGAAGGAAGATTTCAAGGCATGGAAGAAACTAATCTTTGAGGCAAACGAGGGACCTGGTTGGGATCCTATAAAGAAGACTATTGCTATGGATGATGAATGGTGGAAAAAAGCTAGAGCTGTAAGTTGGTTCAAAATTTTTGCTATATTTGTTTTACATATGACAAATCTGTTGGTAATACTTATAATAATACTGTTGTTCTCGCTTATTTGAGGACATTAGGGTTGTGGAAAGTTCAAAAAGAAGGGCCTTGAGAATGAAGATGACTTAGCCAAGTGTTTTTTGACATCACTACTATTGGTATTGATCATTGGTCTCCTCATGTTGTGAATGTTGAAAATATTGATGAGACACAAGAGGAGGCAACCAATTTTGATCCACAAGATAATGATGTCATTCACGAAACACAAGAGGAGGATATTGGTATTTCTCCTCCACCTGCAAGTGGCAAGAGATTGGCTATGCCTATTGAAAAAAGTGGCAAGAAGGCGAAGTCTGGAAATGCACTCCTAATTCAAGAAGTAGTAAACAGTATGGCAAGTTCAGCCAATGAATATGTTTCGAAGAGACATGGAAAATACTCTATTGATGAAGTGATGGAGGTTGTGATTGCTTGTGGGGCGGCTATGATAGCAATGAACATTACATTGCAACCTGACTGCATTTGTGAAGAAGGAGCAAAGGGAGATGTTCATGACCTTGCCTATTAATGAGATTAGGTTCACTTGGCTTAGGAGGAAGTACAATGATAAATATGACAAGTAGAAATGGTAGTGAGATTAGGTTCAATGGCAGTTGTATGCTATATTCTATTTTATTCCAGTTCACTTATGTATGGCAGTTGTATGCTATATTCTATTTTCTTGCCATTCATTTATGTATGGCAGTTGTATGCTATATTCTATTTTCTTGCAGTTGTATGGCAGTTGTATGCTATATTCTTTTCTTTGATTCATTCTTGTTGATTGGCTTTCTGTACTTGCAGTTGTATGGCAGTTTTATTTTCTTGCAGTTGTATGGCAGTTGTTGCTTTCTGTATCTTTCTATACTTGCAGTTGTATGGCAATTGGCTTAGGAGGATGCTTTCTGTAGCTTTGTGTAGCTTTGTGTAGTTCATTTTCTTGCAGTTGTATGGCAGTTGTATCTTACATTTCATTTATGTCAATGTTCACAGATGTCTTCAAGTGAGTCTGATGATTCTAGTGATGGGGAATTTTTTTTAAATGGTTGAGAGCAGTGCAAAACTAGCACAAAGTTATCATGAATTGTATATGGACAAGGCACCACCGATGTTCATGTTTTCACAACAAAGTGGAATGGGATGGCTGATGGAGACGGTAAACACTCCAGGGGAGTGTCATCGAATGCTTCGGATGAATGAGGTTATTTTTCATGATCTTCATGATGTGTTGGTTGAGAGGTACGGATTAAAACCATCGAAACACATTAATACATATGAAATGTTGGCCATTTACCTACTCACATGTGGTGGGTGTGAGTCAAATAGAAGAGAACAAAATAAGTTCAAACACTCAGGTGAAACCATTAGTAGAAAATTTCATGAAGTTCTAGATTGTGTGGTTGCCATGGCACAAGATTTCTTGAGACCAATAGATCCTAATTTTTGCAATGTGCACAAGAGGATTAGGAATGACAAGAGAGCATATACACATTTTAAGGATTGCATTGGTGCACTTGATGGAACCCATATTCGTGTGTTTTTATCACCTGAAGAACAAGTGAGATATATTGGTAAGACTGGAATTGCAACTCAAAATGTGCTTGCCGTTTGTGATTTTGATATGCGCTTCACGTATGTGGTTGCGGGTCATCCGGGTTCTTTGCATGACACTAGTGTATTGTACCATGCATTGGAAGCAGATGTAGATGTCTTCCCACATCCACCTCAAGGTAAATATTTTTGCTTACGTTCTTTTTCATATTTGTATGCACAAACTTATCTTGTTTTACATATGTGTAGGCAAGTACTATATTGTAGATGCGGGCTATCCTAATCGTCCGGGGTACCTAGCTCCATACAAGGGTGAAAGATACCACTTACCCGAGTGGCATCGAGCTATGGAACCAAATACTCCAAAAGAGAAGTTCAACCATATACACTCATCTGTTCGTAATGTTATTGAGCGCTCATTTAGAGTATTAAAAATGAAATGGCAAATCCTTTACAAGATGCCCGGTTATTCAATGGTCACACAAAAGAAGATTGTTGCTGCTACCATGGTCCTACACAATTTCATACGTGAACATGCTAGTGTTGATGTGGACTTTACTAATTTTGATAGAGATCCTACCTGCATGCCTACTATTCCAGAAAGGTACAACAAGTATGCCGTGTCTCAACATGCCTCCGATGGATCAACTTCGGAATCAAGCTTTGTGACTATGGACACCTTTCGTGATAATATGGCTACATCCATCGCCCTAGCATGGAATTAGTGCAATGATTATTGTAATAACCTTATTTTGGAACTATGAACTTATTTTGTAATTTCGATTCTAGGCAAATGACATGTAATTTATTATTATTTTGAACTACACTGCATGTACTTTCATTTCATATTTGTGAGAAGTAGTTCAAGTCGAAACCAGGGGCAAGAATGGCAATCTACCCTCAAACTCATCTTTTCTGGAGCTGGAGACACCCTCCCAGCCAAACATCCTCATCAGACAGCTCCAACTCCACCCAGAGCTGGCTCCACCTGGAGTTCTGGAGTGAAGCAGCTCCACCCAGAGTTGGAGTTATGCCAAACAGAGCCTTAGTCTCCCAAACTGACTTCTCCGACATGGTCGACAAACATCTGGATGGACGCGAGCACTTCCTTGTAGGTTGCCGTCGTCGTAGGTTTACGCACGCACCGGGAGGCATGATCGAGCAGGAAGCTAGTTTAGACAGGCTCAATCATGATGAACTTCACGTGTTTCCTAAAATCATACTATAGATTATGGTGCCCAGTTTAGAAAAATATAGAGCATGATTTTAGGAAAAATATGAATCTGGCTTCATATTCTTCCAAGTTAAAACAAATTTTCTAATATTAAATCAGCTTTTTAGTATTTTAAAACCCATATTTATTCTAGATTAAATATTTAGATAATTTTTTGAAAAAAATATTTCATAAATTTTGTATGAGCATGATTTAGGTTTTTTCTAAGTAAAAACAAATTTAAATCAGATTTTAGTATTTTTAAATGCATATTTATTCCAGAAAAATATTTTTTGTACAGTCTAATTGACCTCCCGGTCGGACTTATCTATCTCGTTGAGTGACATGGAGTCATGTAGGATGGTTGATATGGTGCCACTTTCAAAATCGTTTAGGAGGCAAATCAAGTCTAAAAATTCAGATAGAACTCATGAGAGAGCTGAGAGCAGAACTTTTCCATTTGTAGGACGTGGACGTGGACATGGGCTCAGGCTGGGCCGCACGTTCATGGGCTACCGCCAGCTGAAGCCTGAAGGCGAGCTCCATTCAGCGAGCCGACACGCCGCCGCCGTGCGGCAGCCAACCGGCGGCGTTTGAGCGCCGCGCCGTTGCTTGTGTTCCCTACTTCCCTCCCGCGTGTCGTCTGCGCTTGCGATGCTAGCGACGACGCCTCCGTACCCGCTCACTTGCTTCCATGCTCCACGGCGCGCGCAGGAGGACGGCGCCGCTCCCTGCCGCGCTCGCAGCCGCCTTCTTCGCTTCGAAGCCCCAGCCTCAGCCTCCGCCGGAGCTGCCAACGCCGCAGGTCGTCGAAGCCGCCGTCGCTCGCTGCCCCTCAGACGGCCTCGCGCTCTCCTTCTTCCTGTGGTGTGCCCGCCGCCCCGGCTATTTCCACCCGCCCTCCTCCTTCGACCGCCTCCTCCCCGCCGCCTCCCGCCTCGCCTCCCGCCTCGGCACTGCCAACGAGCTTATCCGCGAGCTCCAGGCCCTCGGCGTGCCCGTCAAGCCCCAGACTTTCCTGCTCCTGCTCAGGCTCTACTGGCGCGGGGGCCTCTACCCTATCGTGCTCGATCTGTTCGATCAAATGCGCCTCTGGGGATTCCAACCCAATGCCTTCGCCTGGAATGTCGTCCTCGACGTCCTGCTCAGGACAGGCCATCTCGACGCAGCGCGACACACGTTGCAGTACTACCCGGCACCCAATTACCTCACCTACGCCATTGTGCTCACTCATCTCTGCAGGGCTGGGGCCTGGTCAGGCGCCCGGAGTTGTTTTATTGAAATGCTACAGCTGGGGTTTCTCCCAAGTGCAGCTTCTCTCACTGCGGTTTTTGCCTGCTGCAGTAAGGCTGGAACTATGTCTGAGCTTCTGCAGCTGCTTTCTTTCGTGCTTGTCTCGGGTTGCAAGCTCACCTCAGCCATGTGGACATGTTTGATCGCTCGTCTGTGTCGTGAGGGGCAACTAGAGGAGGCTTGTAATATGCTGGCAAAGATGGTGGATTCTGGTTGTTCTCCTTCAGTGGTCACCTACACTCCACTTGTCAGAGGATTCTTGCGAGCTGGTAGGCATGAAAAGGCCAGCGAGCTTTTGGGATCAATGATGTCCGCCAGCTGCAGCCCAGACATTGTTTTGTATAATGTTCTGATGGACAGCATGGCAAAGGAGAGAAGATACAATGAGGCCCTGGATATTTATATGCATATTCATGGCAGTCAGATAAAGCCTGATGCATACACTTTATCGACTTTAGCTCGGGTATTACAGTTTTCACAGAATATGGGCCTTCTTCACAGGTTGATTGTACGCTCCGATATCTCTCTTGATCTTGTGGCCTGCAATTCTGTGTTGAGTGCTCTGTGCAAGTCAGGTTTTCCATCTGAAGCCATCCAGTTCTACATTGATAGAATTGAGACGTGCACCAGCCCGGACAGCTACACTCATGTCGGGTTACTGGATAGTTTGTGCCAGTTAGGAAGGGTAAACCATGCAATCGATGTCTACCACAATATCATTGCGAGTGCTCCTGAATCGAATGCCTATGTTCATGCGGCAATCCTCTGTGGCCTTGTTAGACAGGGCCAGAGCCTTGCGGCCTTGAGGATTTTAAGAGAGGCTGTACGGAAAAATTATGCTGTTGATTATGTGTGCTACACTGTGGTTTTACATGGTCTTTTCTGTGTGCATCTGGTGGAAGAGGCTTTCAGGTTGTTTGACCAGATGAAAAAATCAGGATTAGCACCCAACACTTGTACATACAATGTGATGCTTCGTGGACTTTGTAGGACCAGGGATCTGCATGCTGTCAAGCAGTTGTTAACAGAAATGGAATGTGCTGGTGTTAAAATGGACAGTATATCATTCAACACAGTAGCTGTGCTCCTAATTAAGTCACAGCGCATCGACTCAGCTGTTGCATTGATCAGAGACATGCTAAATCTAGGCATGAAGCCTAGTACCAAAACTTGTTCGTTACTTTCTCAGTCCACTGTCTATAAATCTGTTTTGGTGGATAATACCACTCCCACTGTTGAAAGCGATGGGTCAGACTCGTCCAGTGATCTCCTTGTATGCTCAGCTTCATAGGCCATATTATGTCAACTGAACAAACATATTATCTCTCCAACTACAGTTGGTCATGCACAGCTGCATAAACTTAAAATATGCAGTTCTAAGGAATGATGAATCCTCAATGACTTTCTGCATTCAGTAGGTGCTATACTGCCCTAAAAAAAGGTGCTGCACCTCTTTTTTTGTGTTATCCAACAGTAGCTATCATAATTCTTAAATAGTTTACCTCAGAGATTTGAGTTTCTTAAGTGTTCTGCTGTTTTGACACCTGTCTCCTTTTTTTTTCTTAAACTTATAGTATCAAGTATTTAATTTAATGTTTATATACAGAATCTGCTTAACTTCAAGCAGCATATGCAGAACAAAACCTTAGGCATGGTGGTGTGGCACATGGTAAATATCCAACAATGACAGTACTTTACACCACACAAGAAATAGCTCTAGCCACGTATCTATAGAATCATAAGGTGGATTCATGCTATTGTCATAAATGTAGCTGTTCTTGGAAACTAAAAACAGGAACGAAAACATATACACTAAGTAGTTGATTATGCTATCCATTCTTATTCTGCTATGCTCCCTCCGTCCTGAAATACAAGGTATTGAAGGTTCAAAATTTGTCCCAAATTATAAAGTTTCTGGATTGCTCAACCTCACCCATGCATGCCTGCCTTTTAAACCACATCCATGCATGCCTTTTAAGCACCATCTTGCGCAAAATGACTTCTGTGATTGGTATGACATGCATGCATGCATTTTTAAACTATTTGTTACTAGAAAATTAAGCAAGCTGACAACCAAATTATCTAATTATTGATTTGCAAGTTAGTCTTTTGCCAAACTTCTTATTTGGTCCTAAAATTCCTTAGATACCTTGTATTTCAGGACAGAGGGAGTACTTGCCAAGCCCATGAAGTAAACATACAACTAAATCCTGATTTTGCTTTGTATTAATTTCTTGATTGTTGTGACTGTTTCTCAATTTAATTTTGATCATCCAAGGTACTGTTACGGCGTGCCTTACTGCGGAGGAAATAGGGAGGATCGACGGGTGTGTGAGGGCGCGTGGGCTTGCGGCGAGTCGGCGCCGTGATCGAGATCGATCTCGGCGACAACAGGGAGACGGGGAACAGGGAGAACGAGAGGAGCACCGCCAGGTGCCCAAGGGAGATATAATCTCAATCCTGGGCTGCCCCTTTCATTAACTTGGTTTGGGACTCTTATAGTCCTTACACATGACGACGATTACTTGCTAACAAATCCCTTGATTTCCTAACAAACTTAGCTAACCAAATCTCCTTGACTCAACTAGACTCCCTGAAACTCGGACTTGCCCAACCGGGCGTCGTGGTGACCGCGCACGGCGAACTCCCGCGCATGCGTCAGCCACTAGCTTTGTCCCTCCTCTTGTAGACGTTCCCCACCATAACAGGTACACCGTCCATTACTATTGTTTCAGTGCTTCAAGTGAAAATGACTCAGTAAACCTATCTAAACTGTTATACTTTGCACTATTATTATATAGAAGGAATCCATTAATTAATTACTTGGGAAGTGAAGTCAAATACCACAGCTTAGTTTAGGCAGCCGGCCTTGTCTAGGTGGTGTATATTAAACTGCAGTTCTTGAGTTGGTTGATTCTACCAACGAGGTTTTAGAAGTCAGCTTAGTTCAGGTTAATTCTTGCTGAAATACTTGACTCTATAATAACGAATTGAACCTGTGTTCTCTTATCTTTGCCAGAGTATTTCGTCTCTGGTTTATTGGTTCATGATTCAAATAGTAATTTGGATGTAGCTGTTGCTGATTCTTTGGTTTCACACTGATTCAGGTTGGTGGACATACTGCAGTGAAAAAGATTCGTCTGGACAATATTACCTTGTGCAGGAAATAAAGTGGCCTGGTACTATAAATATTGGATCTTTCAGTGGACTTGCAGTCTAGATTAAGGGGTTCATACACTTGAAATGATTTTGCAACATGGCCTTTCACTTGATCTGAGAGAATGTGCAGGTATGCTTTAGATATCTCACGGCTTTCACTGAAGAACTGTAACCTTGAAATAGTTTGCTATTAATGTTTTCTTGAGAAAGTGGCAAAAACTTTGCCTCGGTAGAGAACAACGATCAGCACTGTATGTGACTGCTTTTTTTTTTTTTTTTTACAAATGACTGCTACTAGTTAATTGCGTTAGTTATGCACTCTAAATCGCGCTGGTTTAAAAACACAGATAATGATCTCAGACTGGGAAAACTTTTTAAAAGTTGCATTATTAACATGCTAACAACATATTACACCTTTTTTAAGGCACATGATTCAAATGAGTGCGAGCTCTAAAGAAATAAAAAAGAAAGAAAGAATCAAGACAGTGGTTCCACCTTTTAATGTGCTTGCTACAATAGATATATCCTATGTCCTTCACTTTGTAATGAAACTGAGCTGCACAGTAACTTGTTGTCTAAACCACAGGGCATTCTTTTGGTATGCTGCAAAACCTGAATTTCTTGTTGCTTCCTGTAATTTTTCTGACCCATCTAGTAAGACCTATAGGTTTGAACATACTGGATCAAGGGAAAGAAAATGACCCACCGAATTGCGAGTTGGCAGCTTGTGATGGAGGCTTGATTGCAATCCAGAGCAATGAGATGGTGATGGAGACGAGTCCAGACCAGACATACACAATAGTGGGTGTCCTTCCTCTCCTTCCCATGAGCCCCTTTGCAAATGGATACAAATGAGCTAGCACCCAAAAGCTGAAAAACACTCCCCCAAGCAGCTTGCTCCATTGTGGGATTGTGCTGTAAATCGTCCGGCTGAAGCCAACAGCAATGGCAACAAGGTTGATCATGATGATGGTGAGCGGTGGTATCATTAATGATGTCCATTTCACTATGTACAGTTCTGCAAATTCATCCTCTACATCATCACCCACTTGTTTTGAAGTGAGTGTAAATGAGATCTCAATCCCTGCAATCACTTTTAGAAGACCCTGCAGCACAGCAGCCAGGTGGGCACTAGTTCCACCAATGAGCCAGAATTGTTCATTTCGCCACCACTCCTCAAGAGCAATGCCAGACCACTTGATCTCCAACATGGCCAAGAGGCAAAGAGTGATGGTGATGATAAGTAGGTATGTCAGGAAGGTAACGTTGAGCGTTTGCACAATGAACTGTCCTGAGAAGAGGGAGAGTGCTGGAAGGAAACAGTAGACAATGAGGAAGATGGATGTGAAGGGATAGATACCAACATTAAGGTATGCAATCCTTTGGAGCACCTGTTCACGTATAGAAAATTTGTCATTCTTTCAGATGAAAAAATCTGCATTACATTAATCAGGGATAACAATACTTGAGAGGCAAATAGTGCAAACCTTCATCTTGGAGCTGGCAAACAATGCATTGTTGCGGGAGAAGAAGATTTCAACCGAACCAGTGGCCCATCGAAGCACCTGGTGAAGCCGATCGGTAAGGTTGATAGGAGCAGTGCCACGGAAGGCATCACGCTGTGTGACACAGTATACTGACTTCCATCCACGATTGTGCATGCGATACCCTGTCACAACATCCTCAGTGACAGACCCATAGATCCACCCCACCCGTATGCCCCATTCTGTCTTCTCCTCGTACCAACATGAGATCACACTGATTGCTTCTGCTACAATGGATGCATCTAGCATTTCACGAGGAATTGTTAGAGCACCAGGTGGACGCCCATTCTTCACAGATGGATGGTCAGCCAAGGGTCTACCCTGGAACTCTGCTACTGGAATGGAGTCAATCAGAAAGCTTGAGTTTCCAAACTTCTTTGGGAATGTTGCAAGGTTCATGCTGTCTCCATCAAAATCACCCATGCGAAGAGCCATGGTCTCCTCGGGGTTAGCATTGGAAGCTGATGCCTTATGGCGACGTGGGAGACAGCAACTACATAATCCTGGGCTGTGATCCTTGGAACGAGGTGGGTCAAAGCCATAAAGGGCAATTCGACGGAAGAGGCATCCGGTACCAACGTACACTGGTCCTTGAAGACCATCAAGTGCACGCATATTGACATCAAAGAAAACTGTATTGTGATTGGCATAACGATCAGAAGGGTCGATACCTTCAAATCGCTGTGGGAACTGCACATAGCAGAGGCGGTCACCGCCACGGTCCATCATGAAACACATGCCCTCCCTTAAGGCCTTTGAGTTGTAGATATAGTGATCACAGTCCAGATTAAGAATGAATGGACCATTGGACATGATTGCTGATGCACGGACTAATGCATTCATAGCACCTGCTTTCTTATTGTGATCATATCCTGGGCGCTTCTCTCTTGACACATACACCAGCATTGGAAGCCGTGTATCCACTCCTGCGAAGTCAAGAGGTGTCTTTTCATTGATGTTCCCGTACATCGGCATGTCACTTGGTGGTTTCAGCATAACCTGAGGCACAGAAGAATGCATATGTTAGTACAGTTCGAGATCAGATACATGATTGAGATAGATGGTGGTGAATGGTGATACATGATTGAGATAGAAGTGGCACCTGTATGATTCCTGCGTGATCGCCTCGAGCATGATCCTGTGAAGGTTGGAGCCAGGTACCGGGCCAGTGAGTGCCATCAGCCATCCATGTTGCCTTGGGAATCTTCACTGGCTCAAACGGTTCATCACCACCACCCTTCATTTTTTCCCTCTGAAGATTCATTGCCTGGATCTCTTCACGGGCATGGTATGCATCAGAGCGGCGGCGGATGGCATCTGGCAAGCCATTAACACGGACCTTGAACTCATCATATTCACGCTTAATGCGCCTTCTGTCCTTGACAAAGTCTGGCTTCACCTTGTTCTTGAAGGGATCTCTCTTGAGGTTGAAGTAGCTGTCAGGGTTCCTGGGTTCAATGTCATGCTTCCTGCAGAATGGCACCCAAAGATTGGCAAAGCTCGCTGCTTCAGCCATTGCTTCGAAGGTGAGCAGTGCCCCTCCATCATCTGACAGATAACATGCAAGTTTCTCAACAGGGTAGTCAGCCGCGAGAATGGAGAGAATTGTGTTTGCAGTGACCAGGACTGGTTCCTTCTCTGGATCAGCAGTTGACACAAAGATGTCAATTCCAGGGAGATCGGATTTGCCTGTTGGATTGTTAGGTGTGGGCATCTCAAACTTCTCCTTGAGCACAGAGAGGTCTGTTGCACGGTTGATGGGGCAGAGCTTTGGAAGCTGGTCCAGTACCCATGAGAAAGCAAACCAGAGCTCGCAGACAATTGACATTCCCCAGAGCCAGATAGCGTCCTCATTTTGGTGCTTGATACGCCACATGAGGAAGAAAGCCAGTGCGACCAATCGGATCAGGACGAGGAGCCTGGATGGGAGGAACAAAATGTGAACAGCAAGATGAAGGAGACGGCACATGAAAGTGGCAATGTAGCAGAGCACAAACTACTATTTTTTCTCGAAGTTATTTTAGTATTACCATAAGTGCATAGTATTAAAGTAGAAATAACTACTAGTTTATTTTCGGCGTGACATGGGTGCAAAGGTTTCATGCAAAATGGCTCAGCTGTTCCCTTCTTCTTCTTCTTCTTTTTTTTTTGAGCATGGTGGATTTGCATGCTACAGCACTTGCACTGTTCTATTTCTTAGTTAAGATAAGAATTTATTGGTAACCATGTATTTATGTATGGTACGCTGCATTGTTTCAGGTAAACAAAACAGTTGGCTTTTGCGAGTAAGGTAAGAATGCACGACTGATTGATGAAGTTGAAGACGGAACCTGTAAGGACTGATGACGGCAGCTGGAATCCTGAGCTTGCGGGTCAGTGGGCGCCACGGTTTGGTCAAGAGCTCCTTGGGGTGCCCAGGTCCAGCTGGGGCGCCGCTGTCGGTGTCGTCGTCTGTGCCATCCTGGGGCCAGATGGCGTTGCCATAGCCATAGGTGCCCTTGGTCTCGAAGAGCCAGCGGTTATGATCGAACTCGCCGGACTGGTTGACGTTGGTCTGCTTGACCAGCGACAGGCGCCTCTCCATCTTGTGGCCGTTAGTGCCCGCAGGCTCGCGGGACAGCGAGAGCGCCCGCGTGGCCTCGGCCGCACCACCGGCGGCAAGGTCCTCCCACTCGGTGTTCTTGTAAGGCTCCTTGCAGCCTGGGCAGGCGCCGCTGCCGGCCTTGACGGCGTCGGTGAAGCAGTCGACGCAGATCCTGAAGTCGCACTCGCAGGGGAGGACGTCGTCGCCGCGGGCGTCGCGCATGGACCTGGCGTCGCACCCGTCGACCATGCACGCGCTGGGTCCCTTGCGGCGCCCGGCGGCGGCTGCGTCATCGGGCTTGTTGTCCATGACGTGCGCGCGGGTCACGCTGTTGAAGCCGCCGGTGAAGAGCGAGCCGGAGACGTAGCGCTCCTCGGCCCTGGCCGCGCCGCCGCCGTCGTCGTCCATGGGCTGGTTGTCGGGCGTCATGGGGATGTGGACGTGGTAGTCCTGGAAGTCGACGCTGCTGATCTCCGAGTCGAGGTCGTCGCGCGAGTAGCTGATGAAGCGCCCAGAGTCGGTCCGGCGGCCGAAGACGACCGTGGGCGCCGACGTGGGCGCGGTGGGCGGCTTGCCGGCGCCCTGCGGCGGCATGCGGCTGGAGCCGCTTTTCCTGAGGATCCCCTTGGACGCCATGGCGGCGTCGGTACTCGTTTAAATTGCCCTGGTCGGTCCCGCTGGTCTTGTTTTCAAAGTTCAAAATGGTTGTGCTCTGGCTGCTGTTATGCCGATCTGCAGAGTCCGGTTTTGCCGATGGAAACTTTTGGCGTGAGCAATAGCCGTAGCAAGGCGAAATAGGCATGCGATAAACCAAATGATGGAATTTACAAGGAAACGGAGAGTGGCGAAGAATACGGATATGATGCCAAGTTGGTCTGCATGTAGCTGTGAGATAGAAAGCATGAATGCAGCAGCAGATCAGGTCGAAATGGCAACTAGGATAGTCGATATTAGTGGCTCGTATTTCTGAGTCTGTTTGCATAAATAAATAAACTAAGAAAAATGAAAAGAGTGAAATGAAATGGTGAGTGATATGATCGATCGATCACCTTTTGTTCATCATCTGACTGTCTTGGGCGAGGGAAGACGCTTTCTTCGCCGCTCCAGACGAAGAGTAATCGGGAGTGTTTGGTAGCAAGTCGAGAGAGGGAAGTCCAAGAGAGAAGCAGAATGGACCTGGGATAGCGCCCATGGAAACGCCAGCTGCCCTGGCATGGTTATTTGAATGCTTGGAGCTGGAATCGAAGGGGTTGATTGGTCGGTCTGGCACGGGGAGGGCCGCCGGCCGGGAAGAAGAGGAAGCGGGGTGGGGGCGCACGAACGCGCGCCAAAGCAACGACCCACGTCGGTGCTCTGCTGCCTGCCATGTGGGGTCCTACCTAACCGATTCAGCTCCAGTCTGAATGTGTTGTTTAGCTCGGGTTCGGACTTCAAATTCCTCCATTCGTGGGATTCATAGGATTGGGAATTTGGGATGGCAGCAACTACTACTTCTTTAATCTTTATTATGCACTACTACTGCTATATTCTTCTAGGAGTATTTCAGCGGTTTTTTGTTTAACCATTTTCAAACTCCGTCAGTTGGACCGCATGTTGTATCAAACTCCATCGGTGCTCTCAAGGCATGTTTCATCTGACACCTGGACTTGTTTGAAGGCTTCTGGATTTTTTAAAAAAAAAAATGATGTTTTTTAGCCTCTGGTTTTATACCTGACTGAATAGTTGTGTGGTGCCATGCATGATGAAACCAATGGTCCAAAGACGCTAATAAGGCCGGCTCGCTCGGCTAGCTGTTTCCCATGGCAAGCTAGAGAAGCAGCAGCAGCAGCTAAAACGCGGAGACAGCAGTGAGGTCAGATCGACCAAGGCAGCAGCTACATCGTGCTTGCAACTCCTCTCAAGTCTCGCCTCGCCTCACAAGTCACCACCAGCCATGGCGCCCATGGTCCCTGAGCGTCTCCTGCATGCCAGCCAGCACAGGACACCACGATGCAACACGATCACGTCTTGTACGTATATACATCTTCATACAAATTGTTACTTTTCCAATTCATCCTTTTTTGCTTTCGTTGAACGCGTCAGTTGTAAGGGCCGGGACGGCGTGATGGGCATCCAATCCAACACGTACGCGCGAACTTTCAACCAACCTTCCATCCCTTGTGGTTGCAGAGGTCAACACAACACCCAATGGAATTTTTCAGTCTCCCACACAACACACACAAAAAAAGCATCATCATGTATCCATCATGCATGGCATCACTCCACATGTCTCGTCTGAGTCGCACACACGATCAGTAATCCCTTTGATTCTGCTCCCAACTCACGCTTGCCATCATTGGTTTATTATGCGATCCGGCTGATGAATTCGATGTGCCTATAGGCTATAGCTAGCTCAACTAGCTGGCCACTGCATGCGAAATATGAACAGCACGGGCAACCATCAGAGCCACAGGATACGTAGCACAAAATGCACACGTACTCCCCCCGTTTCCGTTTTCAAATCAAATACATGACATTTAGAACAAGCTATTTACTTCATAATGTACACATCTGAAAAATGTAAATGGAGGACAGGAGGGGACAGGGGTGCTACTCATCAAGAATGAATTTTAGCAAAGCATTTGTCACAAAGGACAGAGATTATGCTCTTGTGTGCACTTGCACCCTAGCTCAGTTTCTTTCCCTTCCGCCTCTTCTAATCGCATACGTATATGCAGTCATGCACGCACACTGCTGATACTTGCACACACGTTGCTTCAATTTGTTCTTCTCATGAGCAGCTGCATACTTCTGTCAGGACCAAAATACTCAGCGTCCATGCATATACCTGCCGAAGTCAACAATTTATTTTATCAAAGAAAAGAGGGAGTTCACATGTTCTTAATGCACCAGCTACAAATCTAACGTACGGCAACAATGCCATGGGAGCAGCTTCAGCATACAGATCATCTACCAAGCAAATCTAAGATACATGTCCAATGCATAGCTTCTAAATCCAGTATGGAAACTCATATGCCATATCTGCCAATCGGTTACATTACACAAATCCATTTATGTACAGCAAGCAACTCATGTCCCAGTAACCAACAAAAAAAAAACTGATAAAAACGCACACGCCACACATCAGCAACAACTAACAGATGGAAAGGCAGAACCTCACAACTGGTTACAGGTTTATTATATATCTAGCAGTTAGAAGCTGATGAAATCATCCTTGTTATCCTTTCTGGGAGTTGTGTCCTGATGAGACGAGGTAGCACCTTTCTTACCAAATATCATGTCATCTAGATCCTGGAGCAGGTCATCCCGACCGGACTGATCTCCAGAACCTCCTGGTTTCCTTACATGGGCGTCTTCTTTGCTCACAGTGCGGGGGGATTCCTCAGGCTCCACGGTAACTGGAATCATCGCTGGCTCGGGCTCTAGCTCAACACAAACAGGCTCCTTGAGCTTTTCATACTTGGACAGGACCTTCTGCAGTTCCTCGTGAATGCTCAATGCCTCAAAAAGCTGAGCCTCATTATCACCAGCCGTCTCGATGATCCTCTGGATTGTGTACTGACATTGTTGGCATTGTTGAACGAGAGTGGTTGCCAATTCATCCTGCATAACATACATGGTACGGTCAACACATATGTGACGACAAAACAGCAGTAATCTAGCATTGAATCAGATATCTATAAGATAAGCAAATAGGAAATCCCTATTCAATTAATTCCACATATTACCATGTGCCTGCAGTAATCAGAAAATAAAGAAAATTTCTTCATGTATAATCCTAGATAAATTTGTCAAGGAAACATCAACACCGTGCTTTGGACGAAATATGCGCTGCAGTCATTAACCAAGTCATCTAAGCCATAATCAACGGGGACTAATAACAAACTAACCTGTAAAACTTCTTTCTGCGGAGAGGAAGATAATACTGTGGAAAGAAGCTCGACACTATTACGAGCCACCTCAAAAGCCTCATTTACTTGCACAGCAGGGGCAGTGCGAGCTGGAGCAAAACTCTCATCTGGAATCTCCTGATATCCTTCTTGTGCTACCTCAGAATATGGTTCAGCTGCAGGTACTGAACGAGGAGGAGTAAATATTGGTGCTAGGCTCTCATCATCACGCCCAGGAAAGCGAATTCCCCTAGATCTTAAGCTCTGCAAAGAATACAAAAAGGCAATAACCACATGAGTTCAAGTAAGAGAAATCCACAAGCCTGACAACATGGGTACCGATTATGCGAGGCACAACACTGTTATGAATGCATAGTAAACCATTAATCAATAAGGTAATGTTAATAAGAAAATTTTCATGTCAATTGTTCATGTACATAACAGGAATAAGCAATTCCATGTCAATAACCTATCTGATATCCTGATGTCATTCATAACCAGCATAATTTGATCTGCTGCTTTCCAGATCAGTTGCAAGCCACTGTTTCAGGTTAAATTGCATTAAGCTGATTCAACAGCAGAGCATTACTTTGTATTTACCTTGTACGTTTCTTCATACACTGGAAGGTAGCGGAGGTCATCTCCGGATTCTCCCCATGCTTCAATAAGCATAAGAGCCTTGTTTCTGTTGTTAACTATAGTCTGCGGATCATCAATCAGCTTGACCATCTCATCAAGCACCCGCTCAGCAGCAATCTCAGAGAAAGCCTTGTCGCAGTTCTTAACAATGGTCTCAAGTAGGACGAGAGATAGATACTGCACCCGTGGATTCTTCAACATAATTCTTCTCTTGACAGCCCGGATGACTTCAACGCTGTTGACCCTGTCGGTGTTCACCATGTCGCATATCTCAAGGTTGGTAGCCCAATCGGGGGCGTCCATGGTCTCCAACGTGGCTTCGTCAACAATCTTGTCCGCCATGTTCTGGCCCTGGAAGAACTCCTTCATCTTGAAACTCATGTTGCTGACGCCAACTGACATCTTCCGGCTAACTTCTGCACCGCTTATCTTGAGCCGCTCACCAAGGGCGTTGACTTTATCCATCAGATTGTCGCTCATCTTGTCAGAGTGCTTTATCAGTCCAGATTACTCTAATTCTGAAGGCAAGTAAAGCGTGATGTTAGTAACTTAAAATGGGACAACAAAGAGACGATTGTTATTAATGGACTGTGACTACAAGCAGTAGTAATCAAACACATAGAGAAGGCAGTATACCTATATCAGCAAGCACATAGAGAAGGCAGTATACCTATGTGAACCCAAAATATTACTATTTTATTATGCAGGCAGGAGGATGTTAGAACCAGGATTGCTCCTTTGTTATATAGCTAGACTAGAGTTGTTTTTCACTATACTGCGATGCTGAATTATAGCCCAAAGTTTAGGAAAACGAAACCCTAGGTACGGTGATTCGACCAATAAGTCGTAAGGCCAGAGCACTTGGATTGGTTAACTCAGAGTACTACATAGGGAATGCTACAGTAATAGTTACGATCGAATCCAGGAGTTTTGCCCCTGGCACAATCCCCTCCCTTTGACCCTACACCCTAGCCCTTAGATCGCAGCAGCCGCGGCAGCAGAAGCCATCTAAACTTTCTCCGGTTGCCGCGCTAGGCTTGGGGAAGAAATCATCACGACCTCTCTAATCGCAGCGAGTGGGAGATGAGGGGAGGAGGAGGAGTGGATCGCACCTGAGTACCTCAGGGCCGCCGAGCAGGATTGCTTCCTCCTCCACCACCGGCGCCGGCAAAACCGCGCCCTTCCTCTTCACTTTCCCTTCGTCTGACGACGGCTCTCTGACCTCTACTCTGTACCCTACCCGCGTCGCCTTACGGAATAGTTCCGCCTCCGCGTCGAGTTCGAGTGCCTCTTGGTTTTGTGTCCGCCTGCACCATCGTGCGCTCGCAGGTTCATCAAGATTCGCGCGGCAGGGTCTCAACGCACATTCCGGCCCATGCTTTATTAGGGCAGTCCATACTTGCCAGGTGGGTAGGCACCTGTGGGTAGGCACTTTCCGGGCGTCCGCTCGCACCCTTCCCGCGGTAAACAAAACGAAGTGCGAGAACACACACCTTACATCAAATTGCAAAGTCTTAATGAATCTCTCATGCCATGCTCTGATGTTCGGTGTGCTTCTGTTATTTACACTAAAAAATATGAAACGCTTTCGTCAAAAAAGTTTCGTGCGCGCGCCCCTGCGTGAAAAATCCGAACTCCGTGTCTGGTACAAAGGCAGAAAGATACGGAATAGAATCAAGGGAACGTCTTCTGTGTTGAATTTTTGGGCCAGACTATTTTGCCTAGGGAGGGGCTCATTTGATTTTGGGCCTAGAACGACGCCTCGAGGGTGGGCACTAAAAAAAAAATAGGAAAGACTTGAATAAATCTGAAAATATTTATGATTCCAATGCAAAATTATTGAATAGCCTTTTATTGTTTCAAAAAAATGATCAAATCAGTTTATAAACTTATAAAATCAATAATAAATCAAACAAGTATTATGTTCTTATAAACTAGATCTACACGATATAGGTGATAAAGATCATGAAATGAGCTTTATATTTTGTATGTAATTAGACTTGAAGATTTCTTAAAATGTTTGTCTAAGCTCAAGCCATGTGCCCCACTGTAGGCGGACAAAAAATCATGACTCTGGTGCAACGCACGAAAGACCGTCTGACTTGCCTATTCTTGGATTGGGCTTCCTCGGTGGCATTGCCGCTGCCGGATGGGCCCTAGGTGCCGTCACTGCACGGGCTGGCGTCATGGGAACCCAGCAAGTCTGAGCGCCGGTCGCTGCTGGACTTAGCAATGCAGATGAACCTATCGACGGATGACACTAGCTTAGTGCAAAGCTCCCTCGCGACCACCGTCAGTGAGTCCTAGTCCATGCACATCTCTAGCACTTAGATTAAGTTGATATCTTAAATCTAAATGTGTATGTTCACAATAAGCAATATGACCATTGAGCTACATCCAGTTCGCCATATTAAATTTTAGGAAAATTCATGTTGCCTTACCATATTGTAATTTACTTAGCTTGCATTGCAATTTGAACATGTTCCCAACCACGTACTACCTCCGTCCTAAATTAATTATCATTTTGGATTTTCGTGCCGTAAATTTGATTAGATTTATAAAAAATACATACAACATTTATATCTTCAAATAAATTTATTATGAAAATAAATTCAAAGATCTATCTAATAATATCAATTATGTATTATAAATATTAATATATTTTTATATAAAAATAGTCAAAGTTATTTCTCAGGAAGCAAGAACGACGGTTATTTTGGACGGAGAGAGTACGCCGAAGATTGAAATGTGCAATATTGGGATTTTCCGAATTAAATTTGTAATAAGTTTTCAGTTGCCTTGGCAATTATATAGACCATTTTCTCGCTGTCGAAGTGTCGATTTCGTGACGCAGAGGCACACGGACGTCACGTCCAAGGAGTGGGCACCCCTTGCCCGCACGTAAATATCTACCACATGACGGTCCAAGGCCCGAGGGGAAAGAGCCAGCTAATGGAGAAGATCCTTTCTCTCCTCTCTCACCAACGTGCGCTAGTGTGGAATGGAGAGAATGCCGAGTCGAGCCGAGCCCGAGCGAGGGCCCAAACCCGTTGGATTCGATTCCCTCCTCTGCTCCTCCTCCCCCCAATTCCCCATGCTCCACCTTCCGCCGCGCCGGCCAAACCAAATTCTGAAATCTGAACAAAGCTTTTCCGCTGCCGACACCGAGCATTCCGTTCCATGGCCTCGCCTTCCTAATCGCAGGATTCGCCTCGCCTCGCCTCGCTGGTTCGTCTCTCATCACTCCCCGTTCATTTCGATTCCCCACCCGGGATTTCTCCGCCGCCTGGGTCTCAACCTCGATTGGATCGTAGGGTTAGCGGTCTGGATTCGTGGGGTTGTTGCTCTCGAACCTTGCTTGCGGGGGTTCCACTTGGTCTTCTTTCTCTCTCTCTCTCGCGCGCTAGTGATTTCGACCGGTGTCGGCTCGCGAGAACAAGGCGTTGGAGGAATGGCCGGTAAAGCCTCTTACTCGTGGAGGCATTGCCCTGTTTTTTTTTAGATCTTTCAGAATTTGTCAGTTAAAGCGATGCAATTCTCGGTAGTTTTTTTTTTAAACTTTTCCAGAGGTGCTAGAAGCCTATAACTCAATTCTTAACGCAGTGGTTAAATCATATATAGCCAGGAATAAGCATGATCAAATCTATAAACTATCAGTGTTTTGTTGTCCATTCAAATATTTTTTTTCCTTTAAATGGAAAACATTTTTTCTTTAACATTGCGAGTTTCTGTTCAAGGAGTGCATGAAACCTGTAATTCCTGGATCCCCCTGGCTGAAAATGTTGTATTCCGATTCATGTTTCTGGTTCTTCAGTTGGACCCAACATTTTTTTTCTTCCTGAAACATACTTTGCATTTTGGTTTATACTAAAGATAAAGATATCCCTTTCGGTTATTGACTTTTCCGTTGAATTATTACACACTTTTTCATATCTGTAGTCCACCAGACCACCACTCTTGATTTGATCCAATCTGAAACCTGCCTCAAAAGCAAAGATTAAGGGTGTGTTTGGTTGAGGTGTGGCTGTGGGAAAAAGCTGCTGTGAGCTGTGAGCTGTGGGAAAACTGCTGTGAGCTGTGAGCTGTAGAAAAGCTAAAAGCTGTTTGGTTAAACAAGTATAAAATATATCTTCTATCTTTATCTCTCTTGAAACTACTATGGAAGAGCTTTTTATTCTACCAATTTCGAAAAGCAGAAAGCCAAAAGCAGGGTTAAACCGGCTTTTAAAAATGTACTACGGAAAAGCAGCTGCTTCTGGAAAAGCAGCGTCCAAAAGCAGCCCGTTTGGTTGGGCTTTTGGCTTTGGCTTTTGGCCGGAGCCCAACCAAACGGACCCTAAAGCTCCAACCTGACCCTCAAGCAAGAGCAACCTTTAAAGATGTCAGCATGCCACCCTTGATGTTGCTCTCCTCCACTATTTGTATCCACCTTCGTCTTCTCAACTAATATTCAATAGCATGCAGTAACATGGTGCCAACTTACAAGTACTCTCCTTGCCACAAGGTCCTTTTATTCGTTTTATCAAACCAATTGGCACTGTGCTTTATTGCTATTGTTTAATTATCGGTTACCTGCTTGTCACTTTCACTGCATTTTTAAACAGTTTTGATGCTGTTCTTTTGATGTGTTCTAAAGCATTGCTTTCAAAGCTGGTGAGAAGCTTTATTGATGGGTCCTTTAGTTTCTAATGTGGGAAATTGATTTTCCTGCTCGGGAGAATCCATATAAATATGTTTGACCAATGATTTATGATCTAGGTGTTGTTTTATACTGTCTTGTGTATCAAATTGAATAGGATCTTTGCAGTGCTAGGAGCTCAGATCACTCAAGTTGTATCCTTGCAATTTAGCAAAGTGAAATGTTTTTGTTTTGTTTTCTTTTCTTTTTCATGAGTGCAAATTTCGATTGATTATATCCTCTTTATGTTTGTTTTGCAGTTTTTGGTTTAAAGCTGGCATTTGGTCTGAAGGTTCTGGCAGGAATCCAAGATGGGTGTAATCAGCACTGTTCTTGGTTTCACTGGATTTGGCTTTGGGTTCTCGGCTGGCATTGTTATTGGGTACTTCCTCTTCATCTATGTCCAGCCAGCTGATGTCAAGGTGGGGACCTTCCTTTTGTTCTTCTTTCATTCTTACCGTATATAATTTCAAATTTCTCCTGGCTGCTGTATAATGAATAATGGGATTGTTGATAACAGTTTTTCTAATATGTTTCCGAACGATCTGGTTAGCCTACCCCAACTTGTTTGGGACTTAAAGGCTTTGTTGTTGTTGTTTCCGAACGATCTGGTGACAATATGAGATCTTGCAGTTAAGATGAAACAAAGATGACTCAGTCATTGTTGAATGAATTTACTTTTTTCCTGTGCATCCCATCATTATCCGGTTCCTTCTGATTAGCGTTGTTGACGCAAGGAATGAGTATTATGTACTTGTGAATTTTGATGAATGTTATCAAACTCTCTATAGATGCATCTGCAACGTGGCTTTCATGTCTTTTATACTTGTAGATAGGGATGAAACCGGATCGGATCCTGAATTCTGTCCCATATCCCGTATTTTATCCCTTTTTTTTCTTGGATCTCAGAACCGGATACAGATGCGTTGGAAATTGATATATGTCCCATATGCATATCAGAAATCGAATTTTAAGTATTCGGATTTGCCAAGGGCGTCGTGTCCTAGGGTAGCTGGCCCTCGACTACGGAGTTCGTAGTCTCCTGCCGCCGTCGTCTAGGGCTGAGGTTTTGCCCCTCGGCCGGCTAGGCTTAGTTGGAGGGAGAAGAGAGATAGATTAGATGGATAATACTTGCTTAACTCTCAAGGTTCAGGTTTACACAAGTAATATAGCCATGCATCCCTAACAAAGCTAACAATAGACTCCTATAATTAAGGGATACAATCTGATCTTCTTTCCTTCTATCCGCTTCCCGTTTCGGAGGTTGCCTCGCTCGCGCCTGCCGTCTGATCTCGCGCGCGCTCTGCGGCTCTCCTCACGTCGCGGGCACGGCGGGTCCTTGAGTATGTGCGGCCCCACATGACAGGATTCTGGTACGGTAAGGATATTAAATGATCGGATTCAGATAGGGACTATCCTTATAGGGCTTTTACCCTTTCGGGACGGACAGATATCGAGAAATATCCATCCCTACTTATAGAGCACTTTTTTTTGGGGGTGGGGGGGTCCTCCTAAACTAAGGGCTACTTTGGAAACTCAAATCCTCTCTTGGGATTCCGTACTTTTCCTAGGGTGAGCGATCCATGGGGATGTCATTTAGTTCTCTATGGCGGGACATTCCATCCCTGGGTTTGTCTCCCCCTTGCTTCCAAATTAGGCCTAATGTGTTGCCTAGTGATGGCACATGCTGCATGCACCCAGGAAAGGGCCATTTCATGAAGGAAAATGGAGGCCTAGACCCTAGAGAAATCATATGATGCAGTGTTTGTCCTTGACTTCTTTTCTCAGTGGTCAGTTTAGAGCTTATGCATTATTATGTGGCATGGTCTGTTTTGAGTACTTGCGAGGATATCAGCAAGTCATTTAATCTGCTGAATTTTGTCATACACCATCTGCTTCTTTTTTGCTTGCTTCTGCTTGTAACGTATGTTCTATGTCTGAAGTCAAACTCAATAATATATGGGGTCATGGGGATGATTTTCTTTCTCCCTACTTTGTCAGGATGTCAAAGTTTGCCCGCTTGTGGAATATGATTCAAAATCTTTGGAGGGCATCCTTCCTGAAATTCCATTGTGGGTCAAGAATCCCGACTATGATAGAGTATGCTCCTTCAATAAACTAGCAAGAAACTATATTGATCCTAGTTGTACTCTAAGATTCTCATTTTCTTCCTTGTCTCCAGATTGATTGGCTGAACAGGTTTTTGGAATTGATGTGGCCTTATCTTGACAAGGTACCTGCCTTTTCATTTGTTATGAGACAGAACGAGATCATTAGCTCTTGTTGACATTGAATTTGCTATGCTTTGTGTTTTTATTTTATTTTGTAGGCTATCTGCAGAACTGCACAGGATATCGCAAAGCCAATTATTGCTGAGAATACTGCAAAGTATAAGATAGACTCTGTTGAGTTTGAAACACTTACTTTGGGTAGTCTACCACCCACCTTTCAAGGTCAGCAGTGTTGCATCCTTATGTTTCCCTTACATGTATATGTATGCATATGTATTTCACATAGTTTACTGTGAATTAGAATGTTTGTTAAATACAAGATATTGTGCATGACTTGTGTGTCCTATATGTTGCTTCTTTATTTTCAGTAGTCAATTTAACCCTATTCGTAAAATAGTGGTGGCTCAATTTTCTATTACTGATGATATGATGTGGTCACGTGGAGACACTGTTACAACTGTGTTCCAGATGAGCTGCTATATATCGAGTTTACAATTGAACATTTCATTCCTTGGTGATATGTCATAATTAGTGTGTCTTCTGCTTGGTTAGTCATGCTAATGTGAGAGACATATTAGTCCTTGGTGATATTGTACATGACTTGTGTGTCCTATATGTCCCACGCACATTATATATGTGAGAGAACAGACCCTGTTCGTACACAAGCTTATGTTAGATTTGCCTATATGTGATTCTAATTTTTACAACTGGTGTTGCAAAGATGTGTATTAAACCAACCCATGTATTTTCCTTCCAGGGATGAAAGTCTATGTCACAGAGGAGCAAGAGCTGATAATGGAACCATGTCTTAAATGGGCTGCAAATCCAAATGTCACTGTTGTTATAAAAGCTTATGGTTTGAAAGCTACTGTCCAGGTATGAATTGTTCTTTCATAAGCTGGATTGGTAAATTGATCTTCAGTTAATGTATGCTGAATTGAGCCAAGTGGAATATTCTTTTTTTGAGATATTTCAGATTGTTGATCTACAAGTCTTTGCATTACCTCGTATTACTCTGAAGCCATTAGTGCCTACATTTCCTTGCTTTGCAAAAATCCTTGTCTCGCTCATGGAGAAGGTATGGCGACTGATTGCAGGTGTTTGAATTATCTTGGTGCACCACTTCTATGCTAATGTGATTAATTTTGCAGCCACATGTTGACTTTGGGCTAAAAATTCTTGGAGCTGATGTAATGGCTATTCCTGGTCTTTACAGATTTGTTCAGGTATTCCTGACTACGGTTCCAAACATTCTCATGTGAAAGTTTGTCCATTTGTCACACTTCGTTGTGAACTAAATGTTTTCATTAAATTTTCTGAACATAGTAAAGGCTTAAGTTGCACTTCCATGAATGCTTTCTTTCTGAAAAGAAATTATAGATGGGTTATTACAAACATTTTAACATTCACATCAAACTATTAATATAATTATTTGGCATGTTCTTGTTATTTGCCTGAATGTATTTAAACGCATGTGCATCTGTGTGCTAAAAGCAGCATTGCTATGATTTGATGGTTGGTCTCCTGGATTTAGACTTCAGTGTTATCCATCTGTAGTGTCTAGCCTGCTCTTTACTGTGGAAGTGCTGTGTGGTATCTAATTCACTCAATCACTCATTTCAGTCCAGTTAGCTCCTTTTGTAACGTTTTCCTTATTTTCAGGAGACCATCAAGAAGCAAGTGGCAATCATATATTTGTGGCCGAAGACGCTAGAAGTACCTATAATGGACCCCTCAAAGTAATTTTTAGTACTTTTTCTGTTTTGGTTTGTTTTCATCAAAACCTAGATCTGATGACAGAGGAGTATTGCTAATGGTTTTCAAATTCCCAGAGCATAAAAAAAGCCTGTCGGAATTCTACTTGTGAAGGTCGTTAGAGCCCAAAATTTGCGAAAGAAGGATCTGCTGGGTAAATCAGACCCATATGTGAAACTTAAAATGTCAGATGATAAGCTTCCATCCAAGAAGACTACTGTAAAGCGCAGCAATCTCAATCCAGAGTGGAATGAAGATTTTAAGTTTGTTGTGACTGATCCAGAAAACCAGGCTCTTGAAGTTAATGTCTTCGACTGGGAACAGGCATGACTTGCTTCGTCCTATTTAAAGCTTCTGTAGTTTTCTTCCAACATATTAGCAAAGAATATGCAGTTATTTTTGCTCTTACTTATAGGTTGGGAAACATGAAAAGATGGGAATGAACATGGTCCTACTGAAAGACCTCCCACCTGAGGAGACTAAAGTTACTACCCTCAACTTGCTTAAGACCATGGATCCAAATGATGTACAAAATGAGAAGTCTCGTGGCCAGCTTACTCTAGAGCTCACATACAAGCCTTTCAAGGAAGAAGATGGGGAGTTAGAAGATCCAGAGGGTACCAATGTGATAGAAAAAGCTCCAGATGGTACTCCAGCTGGTGGTGGATTGCTTTATGTTATTGTTCATGAAGCCAAAGATCTTGAGGGGAAGCACCATACAAACCCCTATGCAAAAATAATTTTCAAAGGCGAAGAGAAGAAAACAAAGGTATTATGTAAACCAGTTATGCTTTATAGTTTCATGGAATGACTGTGATTGAGTTATCTCTTTATTTACCCTTCACCCCCTGTGCTAGGTCATCAAGAAGAATAGGGATCCACGATGGGAGGATGAATTCGAGTTTGTGTGTGAGGAGCCTCCTGTAAATGATAAACTACATGTTGAAGTCCTAAGTAAAGCCCCGAAGAAAGGGCTGATATATGGCAAGGTAGAATGGAATTCTTATCGTCCATTTAATCACTAATATACTGCACCTGGTGACTGTTAGCTATATGATTAGTAATTGGCCTTTTTTTTTTGGAACTGCTGCCCTGTAGTATGTAGAGAGAATTATAACGGTGGATCATTTGAAGGCATAAATATCAAATATCTCTTATCCTGATGCCTGTATTTTCTTGATCCAGGAAACTTTGGGCTACATTGATGTCAGCCTCGCAGACGTGATCAGTAACAAGAGAATTAATGAGAAGTACCATCTCATAGACTCAAAAAATGGTCAGATACAAATTGAGTTGCAGTGGAGAACTTCCTAGACAGGAAGAGCAAGAATGCCTGAATGTGGTATACATATGAATGTTCGTGTACTGAGTTTGCGGATACCTGTAATTGAGCTCATGTAGATATTCCCCTAGTTTCCAGACATCTGCTCCCCAGATTTACTAGAAATACTATGTAGGCATGTTAGTGACCCCAGGAACGGAACTGAGCTTATTGTCACTGCATAAAGTGGCCAACACGTAAATATTTGTAGTTTTGCCGTACGTTGTGATCGGAGGTGGCCTAGCACTTAATGACACAGGGTTTATATTGATTCAGGCAACATGTTCTACGTTCAGTTTGAGTCGGTCGGTGACTTTATTCCGAGTCCAGGTGCTCGAAGTTTACAGTGGGGTTATAAACGAGAAGGAGAAAGATGAGGGTATAAGAGGTTTAGTCGGACTCTGGTCTGAAGGGCCGAGAGTGACGGGAGCTCCGTTATGCGCTAAGTGTTCGAGTGTGTGCTTGTGGTTTGAATCGGGTGGTTTTGTTGTTGTGTCTTGGTGAACTGATCGATCTGAATCAATTTAGTCCTGTTGGAGAGAGTATATCCCCTTTTATAGATAAAGGAGATGGTCTTATAGGTGAGAAGGAGAGAGGGCGTGTGCTACTAAGTCTTGATGCCCATGTCGGCGGATACAAGATGTTTTGTAGGCGTCCATACTACTGTTTAGTGTTAGATGCACGTGGGCGGTTCGGTCGTCTTCTTGAGGTATGGCAGACGTCGGTGCTGGCTACACTGTTTCATCATGTTCGCCTGGTACGGTAAATATCGACGCCCACAATACTGTTGATGCCTCAGAGGCATGTGGGGGGAGCCTTACTGTATTTGACTGGTATGGGAGTTGATGGCACCCACAACACTGTAGGGAAAAATCGGCGCCTACAACACTGCTTGGGTTCTGTCATGCCAGGAAGGTCGCAGGGTACTGTCTGACAGGTGCACAGCGTATGGTCCCTGGTACTGCGGTTTGACTTGTGCGCCCTGCCTTACTTTCTTTGTTCATTTTCTGATCCTTTCCGAGCGGGCGTCCTCGGTCGATTGGTCCCAATCGGCTCTGATTGCGCCAGTTGGAGAAGAGCGGTGAGCAAGGGTTTGGCGCATCCTCGGTCGGAGACGCGGGTCGGACTCGGAAGCGGTGTTTGGCCAGCCTTCGGTCGGAGAGGCCGTCTTGAGGTAGGCTGGAGACCGAAGCGAGCGCTCCGATCGGAGAGGCGGGCTGGAGTCGGAAGCGGGCTTCGTTACTCCTTGGCCAGGCTTTCCGGTCGGTGATTGGATCGCCCCTCTGGCATGTAGTTTAGGTACTTGGGTCGGCCCATGAGTTGCGCGTTGTTTGCAACGTTGTATGCCGGGCCGAGCCTTTGTTGGGAAGTCGGTCCGTGAGGGACCCCGGGTTTATGAACCCTACAGGAGCCCCCGAGCCGCCGGACGATTCGGGTAGAATCGCTGGGTTTTTTTTTTCGTGTTGCTAGCGGTGGAAGTTTCGTTTCGTCAGCGGGTGCGCGCGCACCCGCGGGTGTAGCCCCCGAGCCCCCTGGGCGATTCGGGCCGAATCGCTTGGGGGGTTTTGTCAGCGGGCGTGTGTGCGTGTTTTTTTAGTCGAGATGGAATCGTCAACCAAGGCGTCGTTGCGCAGCCGAGGCGGTTAGTTTTAGGGACCGGGCGAGACGGAGCTCGTGGATCCTGGCGTCGGTGCAGCCCGCGCAGTCGATGCAGTTAGTTTAGGAATCGGGCGAGGCGGAGCTCGCGGATCCTAGCGTCGGTGCAGTCCCGCGCAGCCGAGGCAGTTAGTTTTTAGGGATCGGGCGAGACAGAGCTCGCGGATCCTGATGGGGCGAGTTCGGAGTCGCAGACCCAGGCGTTTGGTGTGCAGTCAAGGCGTTGCCGAGAGGTGGGGCGAGTTCGGGGTCGCAGACCCAGGCGTTGGTGTGCAGTCGAGGCGTAGCCGAGGGATGGGGCGAGTTCGGGGTCGCAGATCCAGGTGTTTTGGGTGTCTTGAGCCCCCAAGCCCCATTGGGCTTGGCGGGGGTCGGTTTTGAGTTTCATGTGTTACCCCGTCCTCGGTTTCTCACAACCGGAGGGGTTGAGCTTTGTCGCTTGCCTCGATTGCTCGGGCTTGAATGACGCGCTCAATGAGCTCGCTAACGGGTATGATCGAGTGAAATCCGGGCCCGTCGTTCGTGACGGGTCGGTCGCATAGCCCTCTTGTGACATTCCACTACTCCTTTACCTGCAACCCAGCAGATGCCGGGGTCGTTCGGAGACCGACCCGGGTGGCCCGCTGGCCTCCCCTCGATGGAGATTCTGTGGGTTTGGCAGAGGTTTAGGATCGAACGAGAAGGTTGAGATGACCCTATCTGCTTTGGGCAGACTGGGCGAGGGCCGCACGGGGCTCATCTGCATTTTCTCTCCTAGCTCTGTTTGACGCGAGGCGGCCTCGAGCCCTTCGTGGGCCAGCCTTCGAACCTCGATCAGTCGTTGCTCATGTTGAATGAGGCAACTGCCGCTTCGTGACGCAACACGGAGCGTTGTGACGCATTTAGCCGCATGTGCTATGTCTTAATTCCTAAGCCCCCGGGCGATTTGGGCCCGAATCGTCCTGGGGGCGTGGGCGTATAGAATGAATGCGTGTATGAATGATTATATATATAAAGAAATAGCAGGGGTTGGTAATGTTACCTTGATGACTCGAGTGACGTGGCTTGAAGAGCTTCAATCGGAAATGTCCGACCGGGATCCGTGCTCGTCGTTCGTAACGGAGTCGGCATGACCCACATGGGACGTCCCTTTGGTTCTTACCTATCTCTCGGCTTTTTTCTGAGCCGTTCGATTGACTCAGGAGGCCCGATGATCTCTCTTGGCGGAGATTCCGTAGTTTGGACCTTTCCAAGTCTCATCTGGGAAGGCGAAGGGTCGCCTGCGCGTGGTGGCGCTTTGGTTCTTGCGCCTGGAGTGTGGTAGTGGTGGGCCATACCCAGGCCACGTCCCGTCTGACCAGACGTCATTTCCCATCCGCATTGAATGGGGGAAGGGAGAGATTTTTTGCTCTGATCTTTTGCCCTTCTTCAAGCTGCCGTGTTTTCTCCTTAAATAGGGGAAGGGAGAGGGCTTCTTGTCACAGTCTTTTGCATGTTCTTCAACTATTGCCTCTCCTCCTTCCTTCTCACCGAGAGTGCCTATATGCCGCGGCGGTTCCTAAGTGAGAGAGAGAGGGTAAGCGAGGGGAGGACTCATAGATCCCTTCATGAATCCAGAGCGCGATGTCGAGTTGGAGGCTGCCCGAGGCGGTGCTGGCCGTCTTTGCCTAAGAAGGGGCGTCTTTCGCCGAAGGAGGTGGCGCGCTGGATTCATCTGCGAGGCCTTTTTGGGATGGAGCCGTGCGTGGACTCTTTCCAGTGGATCTTCATCGGGCGAGCTTTGTCGGAGGGGAAGTTGCCTAGGATCGTGCTGGTGGAGGGTTCCGTGCCTGCAGCTGCTCAGGTTGGCCAGTTCATAAAGTTTGATGAGATATCCTCTAGCCACGATGGCCATACCTCGGTGGGCAGTATCCCTGTCCAGGAGCTGCCTCGACTGCATGAGAAGGTCAGGAGATCCATGCTCTTCTGTTGAGTATCTATGGGTGCGACGCCCTTGAGGTACCCATTGCGCTCACCGAAGTTGAGGGAGTGGAACCAGGCGGAGTCCTTGAGGTACCCGTTGCGCTTGCCGAAGTCGAGAGAGCAGAACCGGGCGGGGCCCTTGCAGTGGTGGTTATGTCCGGCGGTATGCGTCATGGCTTCTCCTTTGGTATCAGCTGATGCCACCGAGCGGCCACAGTAGTATTTGTAGTAGAAGTAGTCAGCAAATGTAATCGTTAAGTTCGTGGGGGAGCCCCCGTGTGAACATTTTTTGTATCAATGAATACATCAGTTCTGTTTTCGTGATAGAATTACTATCTCGTTCCTTGTTTTTTATCCTAGGATAGCTTTGTTTTTATCCTTTCTTTTTTCGCACCTGCCCGCTCATTCTGTAGGCTGCAACTTTTAAGAACCTAGGCATGGCTCGCGGGGCTCGACTGCTCGTAACCATAGGTCGTGACGGGGTGCGCTTGGTTGGGAGTAAGAACGAAGTCACGTAGGGTAATCAAAGAAATGGAATGTCCTTTTGTTCGGGTAAAAAGTTTTAACCATGTGATAGTAAAAAAGAGAGATAGTATTTAGTATTGTAACTTCATGGAGTCCTCGAGCAACCGGGCTAAAAATGTTCGGGCTAGGGTGCTTTACAGGAGCAAGTGTTTGACTAAAAATGGTAAGACCAAATTTAGGGAAAAACGACGTAGCTGTTCAATGTTCCAAGTGTTGGTGAAAACGTTGCCGTTGTTGTCCTCTAGTTGGTAGGCGCCCGGTCGGATCACTTCGATTACCATATAGGGTCCTTCCCATGGTGGAGAGAGTTTGTGTTTTTCCTTTGTTGATTGGGTCCTCCGGAGCACGAGATCACCAACTTCGAGGATCCTCCCCCTGATCTTCCTTTCGTGGTACCTGCGGAGAGTTTGTTGGTAGCGAGCGGAGTGGATGATGGTTGTCTCGCGGGCCTCCTCGAGCAGGTCAATTGCGTCTTGCTAAGCCTCCGTGGCTCGGTCGCGGTCGAAAGCCTTCACTCTTGGGGTGCCATGGTCGAGGTCGGAAGGCAGCACTGCTTTAGCTCTGTAGGCCAGGAAGAAGGGTGTGAACCCTATGGATCGGTTCGGGGTCGTTCTTAGGCTCCAGAGGATCGTTGGGACCTCTGCAACCCATCGCCCGACGTACTTGTTGAGTTGGTCGAAAATGCATGGCTTAAGTCCTTGGAGGACCATGCCGTTGGCACGCTCGACCTGACCGTTAGTATGTGGGTGTTCGATCGAGGCTGAAAGCATCTAGGCCCCTAGTTGGGTTTCGGTGATTAATGACAATACAAGATTACTATGACTAACGTGTGTTTTGTAGAGGCAATTAAGTTAGGTCATGGTAATGGAGA